ATACAAAACAAACAAATTAGGTCACTCAAAGGTCGTTGTGAAGAGCGAGCATAAGTAGCCAATAACTGGGTGATGCAGCTCCGAGTGGGGCAAAAATTAAAAGGCTAAACAAATTTGTCAAAACTTATTAACTAACGCCAATGCCGTCAGCAAATCGTAATTCGAAGCGATATACATACATACATATTTACATATATGCAACACTAAATGCCCACGCATTCTTACTGGGGAGTCCGGCCATCGGGATTATCCCTAATGTTTATAAAAATTACTATAAATAGCAGCAAACGCCAGCGCCACCGTTAAATAGCCGCCCATCCTATGCCGGCAGCACTTCGTACGCATATATATTCGCACACACCTATACACACACACACACAGCATTTTCATTCACACATACTGCAAACAACAAAAATTGACCGAGTCCAGCAAGCCGAGAACGACCTCTTTCTCTCTCTCTCTCTCTCTCTCTCTCTCTCTCTCTCTGTCTCTGTCTCTCCACTCTGAGCAATATAATAGAAATGCAACCACGTGTGTTTTTTATTGCACCAACACAAATGCAAGCAGACTCTCTCAGGCATACATACACACAGGCACGTTTTAACGTACGCACACCGGCTGCTTTATAAGAGACGTTAAAAAAGAATATATGTATATATATACATATGTACACATATATACAAACGAACGTCGATACAAAACGGAATCTTTAAAAACAAGGAAAACAAACGGCTGGGCAAAGCAGAATGCCGAAAACGCATGCAAACACACACTCGGAGATAATATAAGGGTGCAGACTCAGACAATTGTAGAAAGTCTCTACTAGATGAAGAAAACAAACGATGTTATTACTTCGTGCAGTGATTGTAAAAGCACCTTGGATAGTTGCAGTACAAATTAAACTTCGAATAACAAAAAATTCACAATTAAATAACAAAAATGACATTTTCTGATTATTATATAAGCAGATGTATAGAGTTCTTTATTATTGTGTTTATTTGGCTGGCGCAGTTCTTGCAAATGATTCATTCGGATCGCACACTTCGACTTCAGCGCTAGCTAGCAGCTTATCAAGAGTCTAAGGTCCGAGAAAATATGTAAGCACTCCACTATAAAAACACATAAACAATCACACACACACATTAATGATTATGTGACCGCCTACGCATAAACATGAAATTTGTGCGTGCGTGCGAGGTACACGAAAACAATTGTAATCACAATTATGATTTTCACAATGTGGCTTTTTAATAGCTGGCAGCACTTGCTGGAAGTAAGTTACGTTATTTTGACAGCACAACTCTGTTTGGATGCTAAAGTCGCAGGTGAAATGTCGAAGGTGCCCTTGTGATCACTTCATTTTTAATGGCCAGCGCCTGCAATTCTTAACAAGCAGAATGCAGCCATAACAATTTTAAAAAGATAAAGCTGAATTATTTCTCCATCAAAAAATGGTGGATTTTCCATTTAAATTGAGAAAAGTGTGCATTTTTTCTTTACACAATTTGAAGTCCATCTAAAAGTTAAACTACTCATCAATGAACTTCCCTAAGTATAGGTCCTACTACAGTCCACGCGCAGTCGGCACTACGTCCGCTGCATCTTCTAGTAGATAAGTCGAGCAGTCCAGCAGTTGCGCATAGAGCACTCTTACTTGTTTATTTATACCATGCAATAAAGATAGCTCTTTCTTTAATCTTGTTTTTACATTCAAAAGCTCAAATAATAGACATATACATTTCTATGTACGTATGTATGTATGTATATCCCGCATATGTTCTTTCTATTCTATTCATTCTCTTTATTTTTTGTTTTTGTTTAGTTTATTTGTTTGTTGATAATTGGACATGTGAAGTCATGTGTAAAAAATGTTATGATTCTGACAATTCTGAGGACCACACAGCTCTGACCCACAGCTAGCCCTAAAGTCTGACGTCAATATCTCTGTACATATATAGTAATAGATATATTATTGGCAAGTTTTACTCACGCACGTACATATGCATTTATACATATGTATATATGTATATTCATATATAGTATGGTATAGTAAAGCAACAACGCAAATTGCGTAATAGATACCATTTTCGGTGTTCGCGCGCGCCTCTCGAACAAAAGCATGGAAAAAAGCTTGGATCTGAAATATATGCTTTAGAAACACGTCTAAGTTCAAGGCCAAGCAGTCGCTGTATGCAGCATAAGTAACAATGACAATAATAAGAAACGCAGCGGAGAAAGAAGACTGCAAATAACAGCAGCGACAATAACGACAGTGAAAAAATGTGCTTTAAGGGGTCAATGACACCTGCCAGTTTGTCTCGCTCAACTAACACACATACAAACACATATATGTACGTACATGCACGAACATATATACCACACATGGTCATCACCTCATTTCGCTCTCCTTTCTCTTCTTCTTCTGCTTGTTATTGTTGTTTGTGCTTGCACACGCGCGCCGTTTAGACATGTGGTCAAACCAATTTTTTTTTAAATTCTTTTTTTGTTGCTGTTGTTATTGTTCCTCTTCGTACTGCTAATTAGTGTGGCCAAATTATGCGCCAAAAAATTTCCAAAAGTTTTGCCACCTTATATGTATTTGATATATGTATGTACATGGGTGTATTAGTGAGACCGCCATACGTACGTCATGAAAAACTACCGATCGGCTCGGCGTTGACGTCGCTGCCAACGTCGCATAAACAATTTCCGGTTTCGCTGTACACAAAACTTGGCTGTCTCTGTTGTTTTTCAGCAATTTTGTTTTTGCGGCAACTTATTTTTGTCACTCACTCACACACATACAATGGCAAACTTGATTTAAAAATAAATAAATTACACAGAAAGCGAACGCACAAACACAAAAAAGCAATACATACAGACAAACAAATACAGAGAAGCTCGACGAGAAAATACGCATGTTCAATTTTTCGGCAACATTCCTACGCAGCCGCCATCAAAAATATATTATGATTAATACAACGGCATTTTGATGGTGTTTTTAATATACAGTCATACATATGTACACACACACACGCACACACACGTGATTGAATAAGAAAAAAGAGAGAAAAAACAAATACAAATGATATGGCTAAGCGCACAGCAATGATATGCGAACGAGTACACAGTGGTATGCCAATTACTGTTACGCGTTTTAATTAGCAAATACCTCAGCCGACTCTCTCCCACTACTACTAATGCTGCTGATACAACTAGTACTAGTACTGCTGATACAACTAGTACTAAAAATCTTACTACTACTACTTACATACGATTTTACTTTATTACAGTATTATTTTCTGTGCAATTGTTCTTTATGTTGACATATTCGAATTTATATTTGTTTTTGCTGCTGCTGCTGTTATTGTTATTGCGGTTCTTTACACTTTTGCTTTTTCTACTGTACTAACACTCACAAACAACTGAGCGAACAAGAGTGCGCATTGAGAGCATAATAGAACAGTGTTGAAAACATGAGAGAGAACAGTCGAAGCGAGGTTTTTGTTTTGCTACTCTGCTCACAAACACACATTCAATCACACGCACACTAGAGAACGCCGCTGCGTTCCTCATTCACAAATCGAGAGGACGTTGGCGGTAGCGGCGGCGACAAAGACGAAACAGAAGATATGATAGATATGAAACAACAACAACAACAACAATATCGCATAAATTTCTGCTGCGTAGTAATTTTTCGAGTCGGTTTGTGTGTATACACAGACAGAAATATCATGTATTTACCTTTTTGCATTCTTGAAAAACATGTTCGTTTGTTTATGTTGCACTTTGCACACGCACACGAACACATAAGCAAACACATGCATGCAATATAATGCATATATATGAAAACATTTGCAGGTATATTTGCCTGTAAGACAAATGAGGCTCACTTCTAATGTATTTTTATTTTTCTATCGATATAAAAAAAACGACGCACTTTCCTAGATGTAGGTATGAATTAATAAATTTTCTTCTTTTTTTTACACTTCCTCTTCGATTAATTCGCGGGCTTTGTTTTTGCGCCGCAATTTCACAGCTCACTTTGTGTACACAATTTTATTCATTTATTTTACCGTTTGTGAATTTCATTTTGCACCTCTCGCATACACACACACCTTCACGCACGCACGGACGCACAAGCATGTACGTTTGTATGTAATAAATTGATATACATGTGTGTCGGCACACGCATTTGTGATTTCTTGAAATCTACTCACATTTCTTATTTGCTTTTGTAGCTGACTTCTCTTTTGATTTTCTTTATTATTATGATTTCTTGATAATCTTAAGCAATGCACACATATGTATGTATGTATATGTATATATTTTATATTTATTGAGCTATTTTGTAAAACGATATTACTTGCCGAAACAAACAACGAGCGTTCACGGAACCGACCACGACATCCGTATGCTCCAAATGCCAGAATACGAATGAATGGTATAACGAAATTGATTAAACACAGAGAGTGAGCGAGCGAGTGAGGGAGAGTGATGGCAAGAGAGAATAAGATTTAACAACATTCTGAGTACCTAAATTGCCAAAAGAGAAACATAGCGTTTTAAACGAAAGAGTAAATATTAACATGAACATTTAAAAATATATATATTTATACGATTTTTATATTTTTAACCGTTGAAAAATATTATTTGAGTATCGTTTTTGACCTAAACCAACTAAAAGAAATTTTCATATAGCATACATACTAAACCAATGAATTTAAATTTGACAGCAAACAATTTTTCGCGCCAAAATTTGGGGTGTTAATATTTATTTTTGTAATTAATATTTATAAATTTAATATTCGGCTTAGTTTCTCAATGAATAATGCAAATGAAAATAAATTGAGAAATATTATGCGACAACAGGGTGTACTTCTCATCAACTATTCTTTCTTGCACCCATTGGACACGTTTTTGGTATATTTATTTGTTAAAAATCAGTATTTTTTCGTTTTTCAGATTCGGTCACGCTGTCATGAACACTTACGGTTTGTAGTTGAAAATAACAATTAATTTTAGTTAATTTGCTTACCACAAAACGAATATTACTACCCAACATAATAAGGGAGCGACAGAGAATTTTATGATCGATTTGAGTTTATAAGTGCTGTTCAATTTCATTCTGTTTTGTATGCGCTTTGTTATAGATCCTTTTTAGCCTACCTCACGCACACACACAAACACAAACGAATCTATGTACATTTGTATGTGTAGTTTATTTTTTGTTTAATGTACAATTTTTGAAGCACACGAGAAATAAATAACACAAACGTTTCAAAACAACAACGAACCACAACACCCGAAGAACTAGCATAAGCAAACTGAAAAAACGCAAAAACAACGAAACCCTTTCCACAACCGCTAAAAAAATGGCCAAAATGTACGGAAAGGGTAAGAGTAAGTAAAGCCAACAAAGAAAACATTAAAATACCAACACATTTGCAATTCACTTTTTTATTTATTCTATATTCCTCCTCATACGCTTTTCCTTTCGCTTTAATACAAAATAACGCAAACCATAAGACAATAACTAAACACTTACAGTATTCTACAGTATACAGACGATTACTGTTAATAATTGATTTTGTATAACTGTTTAGCGGCCATAGAATCGGAGGATCAACAAAAACGTCGCTGGCAAATCGAGCTGGAATTCGTGCAGTGCTTGTCCAATCCTAATTATCTCAACTGTAAGTCAATGAGAGCACATATATATTATATAAGCAAGAATAGAAAATATAAATGCTATTAGAATAGCATAAAATAGTAGTTTTTACCTAAGTTAGATAATTTTAATGAGTATATGATCTGTTCTTGATCTGTGGGTAAAAAAATAAAGCGAAGCATATTATTGATATAAGTTGAAGCAATAAGAAATGACATGGAGCACATGATTAATACTATTGGGAAACTAAACTAACTCTTATATATGTATATCCATAGATTTGTATTCTGAGCATATTCCATTCTATTTGCAGTTCTCGCACAGCGTGGCTACTTTAAGGATCCCTGCTTTATCAACTACCTCAAGTACCTACAGTACTGGAAGGAGCCCGAATATGCCAAGTATCTGATGTATCCGATGTGCCTATACTTTCTCGATCTTCTGCAATACGAACATTTTCGTCGCGAGATCGTCAACAATCAATGTTGCAAGTTTATCGACGACCAGGCCATACTGCAGTGGCAGCATTACACGCGCAAGCGCATCAAGCTGATCAACTCGGTGCAGGAGAACGCGGCAGCAGTTGCTGCAGCCACACAACAGCAACAGCAACTGCAGCAGCAGCAACAGCAGCCACAGACCAATGGCGGCATCTTGGCGCCAAGTGAAGCGGCGTCTGTTGCCGCCGCTGAGGTCGCCAATCCGCTGCAGCAGGCGACGTTGCAGAACGGCAGCAGCTCTGCCTCGCAGTCACAGCAGCAGCCGCTGACGGCAAGGGAGCCAGCGCCCACGCAAACTCAGGTGTTGTCTGCGACACATCAGCTGCCTCAACAGCAACAGCAACAACAGCACCAGCAGCAGCAACAGCAGCAGCAGCAGCAACAGCAACAGCAACAACAAATCAATGGACTAGCTAGCAGCGGAGCAATGAAATTAGAGTTAAATTAGCTAACGGCTATAAACGAGAAATAAATAAATACAATAAATTAGACATAGGAAAGAATTGTTAGCCTCATGAAGCGTAGGGGTCTAAGGGACAAACAGACAACAAACTAATTAACATAATCCATTCCATTTGGCGCGTTATTCCTGTCGCTCTCTTTAGCCTAGTCGCACTCAAATTCCATTGCTAATTCTACGTTTGACACTTGCAGGCGACAGGGAAGCTCTGGCCCAGAAGGGCCACTTCTATGGCGTCTATTTGCTGTGCAGTCAGAGTGTGGACGTGAGGCATCGCGGCAAATGCTATGTGGGCTTCACGGTCAACCCGAAGCGACGCATTAGGCAGCATAATCGCGGCTCGAGCTTTGGCGGCGCCAAGAAGACCAGCAAGAAAGGACCCTGGCAAATGGTGATGATTGTGCATGGATTCCCGAACAAGATCGTCGCACTGCAGTTCGAGTGGGCGTGGCAGCAGCCAACGTTGTCGACGCGACTTAAGATCTTTGACGACCTAAGGCGCAAGCTGCCACGCGAGACACATTTCGATTACAATTTCCGCATAGTGAATCGAATGCTAGGAGTAGGTCCCTGGCATCGCCTGCCACTCACCGTGCGCTGGCTGGAGACAGACTACGAGCGAGAGTTCCAGTTGCCCGTGCCACGACACATGCGAATCGTAAGCGGCAAGGTGGCCATAACGGCGTCGCAGCGGGCCTTGGCTGTGAAGCGAACTGCAGCTGCCGCTGCGGCTACAGCTTCCTGGTCGTCCGAGTGTCATCTATGCATGCAGCGCATAGAGAACCCGGAGCGCACCCGCTTCGGTTGTCTGAATGCCAGCTGTTGCTTGAGCTGCCACATGCTGTGCCTGGCCAGCTACTTGCTGGACGCCCAGCCTGGTCAGTATTTACCCATCGTAGGCAACTGTCCTTTGTGTGAGACGCCCTTAATCTGGGCCGAGTTGCTCGAGCGGAAGAGGTTCGAGCAGGGCGTACAGATTCAGAGGGAGGATGAGAGTGAGGAAGAAGATAGAGATGAGTTAAGCGACTGTCCCGTTATGGACAGCGATGTGGAGCACATCTGTGAGCTGAGTGATTAAACTTAAAGAAATAAATAACATTTGCATCGTTTCATAGTTCCTTTAATGACATCAATTGTTTCCTAATGCTGGCCAACGTGCTCTTGTAGCTGTTCAGCTGTTCCATCAATTGGCGTTTCTCCTGCAGGTAGTATTCCCGCGACATTTGCACGTACTGCTCGCCCTTAAACTTGAAGATGGACACCTCCGATGTGTCTATCAGTTCTTCATCAGTGGGCAGCGGCGCTTTCTCGTTGTCCTCCTCCTCCCGTGGCGTCGTAAGGCGAGGGCGCTTTTGAGTAGACGGGATGATGTTGACCTCGACTGCATTTAGAGAATGACATTAGTTATGCATAAGTACTAGTACAACTGCACTGCAAGCCTTACTCTTCTCAAACATATCAGCTTGTGGGTCGACGACTTGCGTCGTCGTGGACTCCACCATGATAACTTTATCAATGCTTAAATCATCGTCGTCCATATTTATGTAGAAACTTTGCTGAGAGGAGGATGAAATGTCCTTGGGATTGTCTTCAGCCAACTGAATTTTGTTGCCCGTCGAGTTGATGTAGTAGCTCTGCTGTTCAGTTGAAGATGTCGCAGCCATTTCCTTTGTATCCGTTTTATTGGGATCTTCGTATGGGAAAGGCAGTGCTTCACCCAGCAAAATGCGACGATTCCTAGTCAATGACAAATATTTGGCATCGAAATGTTTGGAACACATATATAGTTGCATGGGTCCAATTTTGGGATGCACTTGGCCAAGTATACGCCATTGTTCGGCGCGCTTTGGATCCTTGGGGAATGCGAAGAGCGTCACCTCGCTGCAGCCACTGCTGTCCTGGCGATGATAGAAATTGTGGCAGTCTTTATAGGCACAGAGGCGAGTGCTCATTTTAAAGACAGTATTTTTTTGTTTTACTTTTTATTGAGTTCAATTTAAATAATTGCTGTTCAATTTCAGATACTGCTTGTTTTTCCTCTTGGCTCTTTTTGTATACAAAACAATCTTCATTTTGGATCGATTAACAACACTGATTTTATTGAAATCTGTACAATTACATTGAACTCCAACTTATTCTGATATAATAACTGTTTTGTTTTTGGATACAAATACAACAAACTAATTTAGTTTATCAATAAAAGTAAATTATAGCTCTAATTTACGTTGTTAGTTAATTTTAGGCTAAGCCATGGCATGGTTAGTGGCAATCCAAATCATGGAGATTGTACACATTTTTGCAGTACCGAATAGAGTTGTTGTGTCTGTCGACATCGATAACTTGTTTGACACGTGAGATTATTTTAAAACATTACATTAAACATTACAAAAAGCAGAACACGTCAAAAAGCTTATACTATACTCCGAGTTAATTTAATTTTAGCTGCTTGTCTAAGAAAAAATGTAATATTCTATGTTTTTGCGGCTACTACTTTTACGCGGCAAAATAACTATCGATAGCATCGCCTGAGCAAGCGTTTTTCGCCAGTGTTGACACAGCTTTAAACATATTGCCTTGAATGATTGCTAAATACACTTAATAAACTCATTAAAAACTTCTCACAAGTTGGAATTAGATTTTTCATAGGAGACAACCTATGTGACGAGTCTAACAGGCTAATTTCATTGTTAGCAACAACATTCATAGAATCAAATTGTGACTTTGGCAACCCGGCATTGTCTTTTCTATTGTTCTGCTCTTTTCTAAGCGGCTTCGTCGCGTGTGGATTGTGAAAATTTGCTGTTTTCTGAATCGTGTCAAATCGAGTGAAAACTACAAATCGAAATGGCTGCAGACCAGGCACAGTTCCAACAGCTTCTCAACTCTTTGCTGTCCATGGACAATGAAGTCCGGAAACAAGCCGAGGTAAGTCTACCAATCGCCAGATGCAAATTTCTGTCGGACAACTGCGCAATATCAAAACGTGAACTGCACATAGTATAATGACTAATATTTATTTTATTGCATTATTTTTCAATTTCATATACTAAATTTAGGATGTAGTAAGATTTTCCGAAATCATCGCCATCGTGCATTCTATTTCAAAAGCGCACAAAACGTGTTTTTGCTCTCTCTTTTAGCTACGCCATTCACACGCCGTTCTTATTTGTGYGGCTGTTGCTGTGTGGCATGGTGTGTGTGTATGTCTGTATGTATGTATGACTGTGTGTATGTGTGCATGTGCGAAGCGAAAAGACAATTTGTACAATTCGTACGAAGCCATAATATATAATGTGTATATTTTTGACATTTTTTTTTGGGCTGCCAGCGCCTTAAAATGAATTCGCACACAAACACGCAAGCAAAACGGAAACAAAGCGCAGGTGCAAAACAGTTTATTATTGCTAAAGATGACGCATGGCATGATGGTAACACAATCTGATTTATTTGTATTTGTTGTTGTTTCAATTAAACACTTGCTGATAGAGCCAGTCTACAGTCTATACGCATTACAGCTGTTGACCTTGGCGCCGCCCACGCCACACGCTACTCAGCACTGAGTGCTGCAGTTGTCGATGGCAAACACACATACATATGTATGTACATGCAAGGAAACACTGCACAAGCAAGGATACATTTTCGTACCAGCTGCGGAATATCATTGAATGTCAATATCTATATTATAATTATAAATCGCGCAATTGTTTGATTCATTTTGTTTTCAATAATTTATTGTTAAATCCAAATATCCTTCGTATACATTTGTTATAGCTTTGATTGTTTAAAGTAAGGAAAACCCCAAGTAAAAAATATAAGCATATTTACCTATGTATATTATGAAATTTCAAATTGTACACTTCAAACAATAATTTATCTTAAGGAATTGGCTAACAGTCCATCTGTCGGATGCAAGTAAGGAAGCTCTAATCGAGACAGCTCGACAGTTATCAATGGAGATAAACTTCATATCCGTACTATATATATGGGCATTTAAAAATATTGCAAGTCTCAAGCGCTTCTATTCTCTGAGATCGACGTGTTCATACATACGGACAGTTGGATGGACGGACAGACAGACGGACATGGCTAAATCGACTGGGCTCGTCGCCCTGATCAATAATATATTTTTTGTGGGGTCTGCCACGCCTGCTTCTGCTTGTTACATACATTTTAACAAAACCATTATATCCTCATTTTCCATTTTAAATGGGTTCAGGGTATAAATTTAAGCAATTTTATGTTGCTCTGTAAAGCTGATGTTACTGCATTAATTGATCTATAGTAAAGACAGAGGTTAAAACTACTAGCGACGTCGAATTTTAGCGGTAAATGGATATGATCTCAAATACTTTTATTATATTTAATACAAATATTTTTACTTTTAATTATGTTTTTTTTTATTATTATTATTATATATCACATATATTATTATTAATCTTAACGCAAATAACTAAATATGCTCAATTATTTAGTTCAACAGCTAATTATGTGATTTTTGAATATTTTTGATATATGTCGTCTAGGATGCGTATAACAATTTGTCGCGTGAGTTAAAGGTAACACATCTGCTGGGCAACATTCACAATGGCCAACAATCGGAGGAAGCTCGTCAAATGGCCGCCGTATTGCTGCGTCGCCTGTTCACATCCGATTTTATGGAGTTCTACAAGGAGGTAATTGAATAAATATCAATATATCAGTATGGAATGTCTTGCGATACTCATAATAAAATCCCTTGCAGCTGCCAGTAGACTCACAAAATCAGCTGCTGCAACAGATTCTGATGGCCGTGCAACAGGATGTGACGCCACAATTGCGCCGTAAAATTTGCGAGGTGGTTGCCGAGGTGGCACGCAATTTGATCGACGAGGATGGCAACAATCAGTGGCCGGACATTCTCCAATTTCTGTTCCAATGCGCCAATTCGCCAACACCGCAGCTGCAGGAATCAGCATTGCGCATTTTCAGCAGTGTGCCCTCGATCTTTGGCAATCAGGAGACGCAATACATCGATCTGATCAAACAGATGCTGGCCAAGAGCATGGAGAACACCGACGCCGAGGTGCGTGTTCAGGCCGTCCGAGCCATTGGTGCCTTCATACTCTACCATGACAAGGAGAAGGAGGTGACCATATATAAGCACTTCGCTGACTTGCTACCGCGCATGATTGTCATAACGGGAGAAACGATTGAGGCACAGGACGACCAGAGTTTGCTCAAGCTGCTCATTGACATGACCGAGAATTGTCCAAAGTATCTGCGACCGCAGTTGGAGTACATCTTTGAGATGTGTATGAAGGTGTTTAGCTCGCAGGACTTCGAGGACAGCTGGCGTCATTTGGTGCTGGAGGTGATGGTATCCCTGGCTGAGAACGCACCTGCAATGGTGCGCAAGCGTGCAGAGAAATATATTGTTGCACTCATCCCGCTGGTGCTGCAAATGATGACGGATCTGGATGAGGACGAGGAGTGGGCAACGGCCGATGTCGTCAATGAGGATGATCACAGCGATAATAATGTCATTGCGGAGTCCTCGCTGGATCGATTGGCATGCGGCTTGGGTGGCAAAATGGTTTTGCCCCACGTTATGAACGCTTTACCCGGAATGCTGAATCACGCTGACTGGAAACATCGTTTCGCTGCTCTGATGGCCATATCGGCTATTGGTGAAGGCTGCCACAAGCAAATGGAGACCATACTGGATCAGGTTATGTCTGGCGTGCTGAACTATCTACGCGATCCCCATCCACGCGTACGTTACGCTGCTTGCAATGCCATAGGGCAAATGTCCACGGATTTCGCGCCCACCTTCGAGAAGAAATTCCACGAGCAGGTGAGCTAGTACTCTAACTGTAAGTGATATGTATCTCAGCTAATCGCAATTTGCCTCTGATAAGGTGGTGCCTGGCTTGCTGCTGTTGCTTGAAGACGAGCAAAATCCACGCGTGCAAGCTCACGCTGGAGCCGCTTTGGTCAATTTCAGTGAGGATTGTCCCAAGAATATATTGACACGCTATCTGGACGCAATAATGGCAAAGCTGGAGAACATTCTCAACTCAAAGTTCAAGGAGCTCGTCGAAAAGGGCAATAAACTCGTGCTGGAGCAGGTGGTCACCACCATCGCGTCTGTGGCAGATACGTGTGAGCACGAATTTGTCGCTTACTACGATCGACTGATGCCCTGTCTCAAGTTCATCATCCAGAATGCTAACTCCGAGGATCTGCGCATGCTGCGCGGCAAGACCATTGAGTGCGTGAGTCTCATCGGACTTGCAGTAGGTCGTGAGAAATTCATTGCAGATGCCGGCGAAGTCATGGACATGCTATTGAAGACCCATACCGAGGGCGACTTGCCCGACGACGATCCGCAGACGTCTTATCTAATAACCGCCTGGGCACGCATGTGCAAGATACTGGGCAAGCAGTTTGAGCAGTACCTGCCCCTTGTTATGGGTCCAGTGATGCGTACTGCGGGCATGAAGCCGGAGGTGGCCTTGCTGGACAACGATGAGGTGGAGGACATTGAAGGCGATGTAGAATGGTCCTTTATTACACTGGGGGAGCAGCAAAACTTTGCCATACGCACTGCTGGAATGGAGGATAAGGCTTCGGCCTGCGAGATGCTCGTTTGCTATGCGCGCGAATTGAAAGAGGGCTTTGCCGACTACGCCGAGGAAGTGCTTCGTCTAATGCTACCTCTGCTCAAGTTCTATTTCCACGATGGTGTGCGCTCAGCTGCTGCTGAGTCGTTGCCTTATTTGCTCGATTGTGCTAAAATAAAGGGCCCCAACTACTTGGAGGGTATGTGGCTTTACATTTGCCCGGAATTGATTAAGGTGATCAACACCGAACCAGAGCCGGACGTTCAATCCGAGCTGCTCAACTCACTGGCCAAGTGCATCGAAACTCTCGGTCCTAACTGTCTCAATGAGGAGGCCATGAAGCAGGTGCTCGAGATAATCAACAAGTATGTGCTCGAGCACTTTGAGCGTGCGGATAAGCGCTTGGCTGCTCGCAACGAAGAGGATTACGACGATGGCGTTGAGGAGGAGCTGGCCGAACAGGATGATACAGACATCTATATCCTGTCGAAGGTGGTGGACATCATACACGCTCTCTTCCTAACCAACAAGGCGCAATTTCTGCCCGCCTTTGACCAGGTGGCACCGCACTTTGTCAAGCTCCTGGATCCCAATCGTCCGTTCGCCGATCGCCAATGGGGCATTTGCGTATTCGATGATTTAATTGGTACTATCATAAATTTTTTCTATTTATGCATGCTTTTGACTGACCGCTAATTCTATATTCCGTCTAGAATTCTGTGGCCCCGCTTGCACGCCGTACCAGCAAATCTTTACGCCTGCCTTGCTAAAATATGTGCTGGATAAGTCGCCGGATGTACGTCAAGCAGCTGCCTATGGATGCGGCGTTTTGGGTCAGTTTGGAGGCGATCAGTTTGCCCACACATGTGCACAGATTATTCCACTGCTGGTGCAGGTGATCAATGATCCGCGGTCACGCGAAATTGAGAATATAAATGCGACGGAGAATGCCATCTCGGCATTCGCCAAAATACTTAAATACAACAAATCAGCATTGAGCAATTTGGATGAGCTTATTGCCGTCTGGTTCTCGTGGCTGCCAATTTCGGAAGACCCCGAGGAGGCTGTCCACATCTACGGCTACCTCTGCGATCTGATCGAGGCAAATCATCCAGCCATTTTGGGCGCGAACAATTGCAATCTGCCACGCATCGTCTCCATCATCGCAGACTCCTTTTGCAGAAATGTGCTGGAAGCAAAGAGCACCCCAGGTACCCGCATGCTAACCATTGTCAAGCAAATCGAGTCCAACCCGGACGTCATGCAGGCCTGTGCCAGCACCTTGAGTCCCGAGCAGCAACAGGCGTTGCAGGATGCCTATCGGGAGTTGGCAAGTGCTCCATCTACCTAAGTGAGTSAGTGGAGAAAGGACTCCAATTTTATGAAGCTCCAGATCAGCTCATTGCATTGATTAAACAAATGCATATATATATATAGAAATATATGTATAAAGAAAGAAAAACGAAACAAAAACTGTAGGATTTATAAACATATACTTAAACTCAAAAATTCAAAGTGTTATCGAAAAGCGGAAAACATTTTTTTCGTTATTTCTCGATCAATTGTGCGAGAAAATTTCCAAATGTTATACAAAATTATATATTATTATATACATTACTTTTGCATATATATATACATATATATGTATACATATTGTGATTTCAATTGAAACTCGTCTCCCGCTCCCGCAAGAGAGCGCCTTTGGAAGGAAACCCAAGCAAAAAAATAAAGTAGAAGTCTTCGTCTCATGAGAATTTGATATGTTGAATCGCGAATTGTTCATCAAATTCCAGTAGATTATTTTCGTTATAAATTGTGAAAACGTTTTCATATGTTACAGCAAATTCAAGAACAAATGAACGCCAGTCGCCAGTCTCCAAGTAGTGTCCCGAAAGATTCGACAGTCGTCCGAAAATGAACGAAATGAACGAAAATTCTAAAATGTAACATTTAAAAATGTGTATTTTAAATTAATAAAACAAATCGAAACAGAAGTAATTGAATTTTAATGTGCAGCATATGGGAAAATGAAAAAAAAGAGGGGAGTCCAGGTATTGTAAAAATAATAATAAATCTGGTATAAAAAGCTAAATATATAGAAAAACTATCTTATTTTGAAATGAATGTTTAAAATAGTTTTTGAGTGACTCTACAATTCAATTTCATGTTCCGTTAGTTATTTGCATCCATTATGAGCAGTGTTGCCGTTTTTTCCCGAGAAAAAATAGCTGAATCAGGACAAAATATAAGCAAAAATAAGCTAAATCCCAGAAACAATTAGCTGAAAAATAAGGTTATATTTTAGAATTGTTTTTTTTTTTTTTTTTTTTTTTTATGTTGTAATACATAGGTACACGTACATTAAAAACCCAAACCAAAATAATAGAAATTTTAACATTATACATTTTAAATGTTTTCATTGATGATAAATCTGCCAATAGATAGTCTACAGACTCTTCGGTCTCATAATTTAAATATTCCTTGGTTGCGATCGATTTGAGGCAGTTTAGAAAAACTCTGTAATCAAAACATCTGTTATCTCGGCTCAATTCGGATGTAAATTTTTAAAAATATTATTTTCTGTTTTAATGAGGCTGTAATTCTTTAGACCTTTACCTTATTGTTGATATTGAGTTTAACGTATCAATGTTCATCCTATTTCTTATTYAATATTTTATTAAATTGACTTGGCTAAAGACCCTTCAACTTCGGCATTCCACCAAGGTAACGAATGTATGCGAAGCGCAACAGCAAATCTGACTAACCACTATATTTTAGAGATGAAAGTATTGCAAAACTTGTGATGTTAGCCTTTAATAGTTGCCAGCTTGTAAGTTTGTCTATTGATTGGTAACTAATATCAGATATTAAACAAAATATGTATTACCTGATTCGATTCATAAATAGGCCAGATTTGCCAAATTTCTTCCGCAATCGCACCTAAAAATAAGCCAGATCTGACCGAAAAGAAGCTAAAATGGCAACACTGATTATCAGCACAACAAATGTACTACGTAGCGACAGACTGCGAGACATATGCGTATGACAGATTGGTGGAAAAAATGTTGGAACGTGTAGCAACTGTTGCAGTCCATATGAACAGCGACACAAAATCAAAACAGACAAAGAAACAGAAACGTGCACACTGAAAGGAGCATTCGTCGCATATTATCGAATTTCCCATACGTATACTATAGGATATGATTAATTAGAGCAGCAGCTGAATCTGTGCGCAATGGCAAAGCACACAGATAAGGTAGGCAATAACAGAATTGTACATTCAAAATACAAAATACGTGTTGGTATATTTTTAGCTTTCGCCTTGTTGACAACACCAAAGTGCAAAGTTTTAAACGAAAAAAAAAAAAAAACAAAAACAAAAAACGCGACGCCAAATAGTCTGTCTATGCCTACCCCAGTCTATCCCTGCTCTCTCTTACTCATTGGAAAGCTCTCGCCAAGTAACAACAGGAACAAGTAATTTGGGCGCAACAAGTGCGAACGGTACGCATCATATCAGCAATTTCAGGAAAATGCAATTTGGGGACGTAATAGACTTGGCAGCTTTCGGTGTTTGCCAATGCGTCACAGATTTCGATTTCGTTCTGTTAGTTTAGTCTTAGTCTATCTGCTGCAGAGCATTTATCATGGCAGTTGAATTCTACAAAAAAGTTTGTTTTTGCCATACATATGTATATGTATTTATTATTTAAAAAAACAGTCAATTGGCCTAAACTAAAATTCCGGAATGTATAACACCTTACAATGCATATTGTAGATATGTCTAAAACTGTTGCAAATCTTTGCTGCTCGTTTATGACATAAACTTTGTAACAAAAGTAAACTTTATAACGGGAGATCACAGCAGATAGACGATAATTTCATCACTAGTGGTTAATACCGAATATCGATAACTTAATGAATAGTAAACATTCTTGCAGGCTCTCTGCGCCATGTCAACGGACAAGGAATTCTTGGAAGCTTACGAGAGAATTAAGCTCTCCTATAAAGCAGCCATGACTCAGGTGGACATCGCTCTGTGCCACGATAAAATGGAGTCAGGGGAGGAGGCTGTCGCTGCCTATGAGCAGGCGCTGCTGGTGATTGAGGAGACATTTGCCATACCTGTCGGGCTGCCAGATAACATAGATGCAGTGCAGCAGCAGTGGAACGATGCTTGTGCGATTATACAGAAGCTAAAGAGCGCTAAGATGGATCTGAGCTATCGATTAAATGTTTTGAAAAGCAGTCAGCTTCCCATTGATGACACCGCTGCAGAGGCTCAAGAACACGAGCAGTTTGATGGAGCATCCACGAGCAAGCGACCTCTGCTCGCTGAGAACCCGAGCATCTTCTATGACAGACTTAATCCGTGCGGAAAGCCGAGGACTTACAAGGAGCTGGCGACCGGATTACGTGAGCTGTTAGGCAGCCACGACTCTCAAGCGCAACTGGATGAGCTGTTTCAAGCACAAGTCAAACTCTACAGGATCGAGTCCAGCGGTCAAGTGATCACGCTAACTGGCAGCTCGAAAATGTCGCTAATCATGTGCTCCGTGGTTGGCAAATGGGCACATTTGAATGGCAGCTATTTCATACAGTGCGACATGCCGCGGGAGGCCGATAATAAAGAGGCGGGCACGCCCGTCTGGCTGTATCCGCTGATTCCCAACGTAACCAATTGCTATTGCACGGAGTACGGCGCCTTCATATTGCCGGATATGGAAATCGAGCAGGCAGGAAATGCATTTGGCTTAATGCTGGTTAAGCCACAGCGTCCGCTGAGCACCAGTGCCGGAGAGTCTGAGGAGGAGCAGATGGCGGACTTGCAGCAGTTCTTCTTAGACCTACTTGAGGCCGTGCTGGCGGACACTGTGGAGCAGTTGCCGTCGCCGCGCAGCCAACGTGCTGCGTCTACTGCCCCCGAGCAGGTGTCCAAGCACATTGTCTGCGCAGCGGATTTCATAGCGCGCAATCTGGTGAAGGGAGCCGAGAAGACGGGCGGATATATGTTAAGGGCTACGCCATATCTCATGTCTAAAATGAAGCCAGCGGCAGCCGATGAGGCCACTCAAGTGCCCAGCTCGGTACAGACCGGCGTGGAGGTGGCACAGAAGGTGACGCAGGCAGCTGCTGGTCTGACGGGCTGGATCGCCGGGAAGGTGGGCACAGCTGCTGTTGCAGTCGGCGGATACCTAGCGCCGCATGTCCAGACCCAAGGCTCGAAGCTCTTGCAAAAGGGCTTCGGCTACGATAGCAGCAATGCGGACAGCACAATGGAAGGCGCCATGACCATTGCAGCGGGCGCTGTGGAAGGCTTTACCACAGTGTTCGACGGCTTTGAAAAGTCGGCCAAGATCTTGGGCAACAGCTTGAGCGAGAATTCCGTTAAAATTATTGAACACAAGTAAGTTTACGCCTTCACCTAGAGATTGAAAACTCAAGAATGTCCTTATCAGATACGGCAGCTCGGCTGGAAATCTGGCCAGCGAGACTTTCGATACGGTGGGCAACGCCTTCGTCATTAGCCAAAATGTTAACTATATAACGCCCAAAGGTCTGGCCAAGAAGTTGGTTAAGAAAACGGGCGAAGCCGTCGTTGTGGATTTGCGTCGCTCAGAATCTCATTACATAAACGCGGGCGCGTTGTATCCCGATTTAAGAGCACTGAAGGAGTAAAAGACATAGTCCATATGAATGATTGATATTAATCTCCGTTGGTTAAGTCCAAAATATGTTAATTCTTTGCAACGAATTTGTTGATATTAATATGTAATCTCCGCTAGTCAAGTTAAGTTATTATTTTGTTTATATTTTTCAATGAATTAGTTATTAACCTTAAAGTACTCAAAAAATTAAAAATACTGAGTTGATTTTTTAATTTAGCGTTCATGTTATATAGCAGTCAGCTATCGGCAGTGCTAACGTCGAACAGTGCTAGAGCTGCTAACAGAAGTGTAACAGACTTTTCTCAATCGTAAAACTGTTATATTCGTACTGTTATACTATCGGTTAACAGCGTGCTGTTAATGACTGTTTTATTTTCAGTTTAGTCGTCGAAGTGTTCGGTCGGGACCATCGGTCGTGCGGTTGACGAAGTTTTTTTTTCAAAATAAAAAGTGATCCAATTTTCGATATTGTTGCTGCACAACGGCAATTTAATAATGTGTATGCGCATATGAATATGAATGTAAGAAACATAAGCATGACGAATGTGTGAGTGTGTGGAAACTAATTATTATTTTGTCTATTGCGTTCGTCATTCACACGCACACAATTGCATTGGCAATTGTTGCTTATTTTTGACGTGCCTTTAAAATAAAAACCTTATGTTACAAATACATACATATGTATATAAATGTAAATATGATATATTATTATTAAACATATATTTTTATTAACGGGCCGCGTTTATATAATGAGTGTATGCTGTTTGTGTGTGTGCCTGCGAGTTTGAGCTTGTATGTATATATGGTTAAATGCGTACGTGTTAGTACGCGCTTGTGTGTATGTGTGAACGTGTTTGTGTTACGGAGCTCTCCATTATTTTCAGTGTGCGCTTTACACGCTTTGAAATAAAAACTGCCCATTTGAAGTGAATAGTAATACAAATATATACAAATAATACAACTATACAAATATACAGCAAGCTGTTTCACTTCTTAAGTTACATGGCCTGCTCACATCTAATACTAGTTTACACAAAAAGCAGCAACAAGCCAGTTACAGCCATAAACGGTCAACAACAACAACAGTTCTAAGCGCACACACACATACGCAGAGGCAATAGCAACTAAAACGTGTTTGTTTGTGTGTGCTTACTGGGTTCATTGCTGTTGCTTACCTGTGCCTGTGTGTCTGTGTATACATATATGTGAATATATGCTAGTGTATGTACGTTTTCTAACACACGTCTTTTTGTACGTAGACCGCGAAAAACAACAACAGAGACCGAGTGTATAAGAATTCTGAATTTTTAGCTTTTGAAATACTCACACATAACGAAATTGGATGAAAAGGAAAACTGCTTCAGAAACAAATCAAATCAAATGAAATAAACTCGAGGAATTTTGATATTTTCATGGTAAGTTTTGCGAAACTGTGGTCCTAGTCTCATCTTCTTCATAACGGTTTCTTAGCTTATGCCGTGATATAGAATTTTATTAGTGTTATATTTATTTGCATTATTTGGCGCAGCTGTAGCAGCAGCAGAGGAAAATTATAATAATGCCCAGTGACAGAATAGCTAAAATTAGGCTTTCCTCCTGTTCGATCGGGTATGCCGTTGTATCTTTACATCGGCTCGCAAGTTCACTTGAATTCACGCGCATAGCTGTTATTGCGATTTCTTTTTCTTTCCTTTTCTTATTGAAAAAATGTTGAAAATATTGTACTAGTTGATTTCATGTAATTTTTTTTAATGTGTACATACATATATTACATTTAACAACTGTCGAGATACAGTGTATGCTTTTTTCATCACATTTTTCGATTACAAATCATTTTCACTTTGCATGTGAAAATTGTGGCTAGTAACATTTAGATGGCTTGAGCATTTGCAACAACATCATCAACGTCGGTTATCGACGCTGGCTAACAGGTTTTGTGATTTTAAGCTTATAAGGTATTGGCAAAAAAAAAACAAATGAAAAATAAATTAAAAAAAAAAATTATAATCGAGAAATGCAGACAAAATCCATCATTGGAAAGTTGATTTGATTGGAACTATGGAATGCAGCTGTGACAGGGTTGTTGCCTAGTTGTGCGACAGGGCGACGCATTTTTGTTGTTGTTGTGATTATTGTTTGTTGCAAAAAGTCATCTAATGTTACAAGCTCTATTGCTTCACGCTTCATTTGGCAACTTTCAACAGCAACAGCAACGACAACAATATCACCATTATTGCCGTCGATATATGGGAGAAAGGCTGTTGATCGAGTCTAGGGTTACGTCCACATGTAATTAAACACGATTCCGTTAACTAAATACAATATCTAATGTATGTATGTATATATGTGCGGATATCTCTATACATATCTGTATGTTGTTGTCATTGTTCTCTTTTCATTTTACGATAGTTGGTACTTTTAGTGTTTTAGACTCGAACTCTCAATTAGTAATCGTGGTTGTTGTTTTTTTTTTGTGTGTGTTCCACCCACAGCAACAATAATAGATCGTTCCGTCTGCAGCAGGCTGTTTACAATTGTCTATGTTGTTGTTATTTATATTATTTTTATATAGTTGTTGCTGTTGCTTTGTAACTTTTTAACAATTGGCAACGCTGTCGTGAGACGTTTCTGGTATGTGTGTGCATTTGTGTGTGGGTTTGGGTGTTGGGGACCATCGCATTACACAATTATCCAAAGCATTTTCCACAGCCTAACATTTTTCCGACACACATGTAAATCAATTCACTATTTTTTTTATTATTTGTTTTGTTTTTGTTTGCTTTCTTGCTGATCATTCATCCCTTTCTCTGTGTGATATTTGCCATAGGTTTTTTGCCGTTGCCTGTCTTTTGTTTGGCTGTGTTTATTTTCCCATCTTTATTTTTTACGCGACCCGTGCGTCAATTTATATGTACATATTTCGTTCCGTTGCCGAGGCGGAAGTCGCTTCTTAATGATTATAAAAAAATAATAATAATAGTCCCTTGTATTGCACTGTAGTAGGAGCAGTAGTAACAGCTGAAACGGAGCCCTGAATTGTGTCGCAATTACTAGGTGAAACTTTGAAGCCTCTAGCTCCTACCCCTACGCTTACCTGACCACCTCTACGCCGAGCTCCTTTCGAGCAACCGTTGCAGCTGCGGGCATGAAAACTCGTTTGCCGCATAATTTCTAAAGCTGCAATTTTCATTTGTTTTGTATTGGCATTTTGACTTGGCCATAGCTATAGCTCAAGCAAGCATGCCCATGCATGGGCAGGCTGAGGTAATACTAATTGTATGTTCCTGCATTTCTATATGTAACTAGAGTGTGAAACATTTCATTTTCGTTAGCGACACTGCCAGCTTCCAATTTACTGCTAGCACATATGATGCGAGTTCCATTGAAATGGAATAAAATATTTTTAAAGCTTCTAAATTGCATAGTTCAGTTTTAAAAGTTGTATTCAAAGTATTCGTGTTCGGATAGCATAGTTGGGATCACTTTTGAAAATCGATTGCTATCGAATAATTGAGCATGTAGTAAGTTCGATTGTTGTTTCTTAGTTCGTATTTAAATTGCCTATCCATTCCCTTTCAAATGCATTGAAAAGCCATGGATATCAATTATTACAAATCAATGACAAATAAATTACCCAATTCCATAGTCGACGGTTCATTAAAAAATAAAATCACTTTTTCGATGCCAGCTAATCGGGCTTTAATATAAGCCTAGGGAGATAGGCTCAGGCAACTTTAATTATATGGATAAAACAAATATATAAGATATGAGATGGTGCAACAAACGCCAGTAGCGAGTTCACAGAGATGGGAAATGCTGGTTCAGGTAAAAAGAAATGAAGAAAACTGGTCAAAAACTGTGAGCGTTTTAAAAGAAAAAAAAAAAAAAAAACACGATTCTAATGTCCAGACCATGGTCAGGTAACAGAGAGTGGCCGCCATCTCGCTCGCACACCCCAGCTTATAGGCCCAGCTAAGAGCGGAGTAAAAATAAAAGAAATCGCCCCCTGCGGTATTTCCGTTCATGTTTTCATTCATAGGAAATAATAATAGCACCACCACAACAACAGCACCAGGAGTCGAGCTGAGTCGCTGCAAGGGCGAGATCGCATTTGGAGACTTGAAGCAAGTGCATTTTCATTTTCCAGTCTGCCGCAGCGCAGTTTTCGTCAGTCTTCGTTTGTGATTGCATGTGCGTGTGAAAAATGAAAATGCCTCGAATAACAGGTAAGTTAATAAGCGACTGCGACTGCGGCTGCGACAGAGACGTCGGCAACGAGCTGCGGTGCAGACGAAACAAAGGCATTTCATTAAATACTCGGCATTGCGTTGTTACCTGTTGGGATGGCGGCCATGCTGGGAAGCACGGCAAAAGTACACAAAACTCACGTCGAATTGGACTACTAAGTGCTGACTGACTACTTATTGCCCTGTAGTGAATTTGAAAATTGTTACAAAAGACATTCGCCTTATATTGTTTGCCTAGCGTATAAATGTGTTCTCATATATTGGAATCTTGTGATCGCTATTTATCGATGTTTTAAATTGAATTATAATATAGATAGTGCAAAAGGATACTAATGGATAAGATCTATACTATTATTATAATGAACAACCATATATCTTATGTTCAGTTTTTGAGATCATCATACACGCTGATTGACAGAATTGCGTTCGAAAACAATATTCCCGTAGCAACCCAAAAAATAATTCGTTCCATGCCACCCTCTATCGCTTGGGCAAAGAGAATAGGAATAGTCTAATACAACCTGTCAAGGGACGGATTCTTTCACCATCTGAAAACGAACACTTTTGTTTCTTTTTCTTTTTTCTTCGGTACAATAATTGCACAAGTGTCACTTGGCCACAGTAGGCACCGGTAGCACCAACTGGCAAGTGGTAGGTAATAGGAACAGCAGAGGGTATGCATAGATACATATCTACATAATATATACTCGTACAAGCATGTGTCTGGCTGGTAATTTCATTATGAATTGTCACAGCTGGTCGAAGAAAAGGGGCGGAAGGGGAGGGAAGTTAAGTTTTATGGCCAAGCTGCATGGTAGCCATGCTTAGTGCAAAGCGAGCAACATGAGCGGTTCATTCGGCATTTTATTGTTTATTTTATAACCATATCTCACTTGGCAAACAATTATTTATAAGTTGTGGGGAAGGGCAAAGAGTAAATGGTTTGTAATATTAATTATTTATTTTATTTGTTGATAATTGTATACTTAAGCTCTTAAAATAGGAATGAAACACTTACTCAATAAATCTTATTTTTATTAATGTAAAGTCTAATTTTATTATTTGTGCAAACTAATTAAATTCTATTCCAAGATTAGGAGTGACTATTAAGAAATAAGTTATTATTTTTATTTTGATAGCCACATTTCTGAGTACAAAAAGGTTTAGTTTGAAACTCGTATTTTCCAAATGATTTCCTTTCTATGCTACTAATTGAATTCACAAAAGCATTTGTAATTTGCATATCCACAGACAACAGGAAAACGAAAAAACCGTTTTGCCAACCAAGTATCTGAAGTTTTTTCTGTTGGCCTAGCCCCAAGAGAGGGCAATAATTAATTAAAAAATACATCCATACATTCACTCACGCACACATACATAAGCATGTACATATGACTTGTAATATGTGCAAGAAAAACTGTTGCAAAATGTAGCTTATGTACAAATGACCGACATAAACGAGTATAGATACAGATACAGATACAGATATAGACACTTTTACAGTTACCCATACACTCTGCACCGCTCTGTAAAGTAACAGTAGGCAGCGCCCTGTTGGCAACAGCTGTTGTATTCGTTAATTATGGATGACTCGTATCCCGAAGGATAAAACGAGTGCATCGTCGTTATGGAAAAGTCCACAGCTTGTGACATATAAAGAATGTATATATATACTTCAGTACATACGCATACATGTATACCTATGTACATATATACGTATATGTATATGTATATGTGTATAATGTGCATGTACAGCATCTCTTATATGCCTTAAAAATAGGTTAGCAAAAGCCGTTTGCACGCAATGTGTTCGCTTGCAATGTGACTTCCATATCCTTCCACAAATCGTATCCCCAAACCCGACAGCCATTTGCGGTCGCCTATCAATTGCTTGCATGTTCCTGTCAGTCAGTTTTGGTTTGGGCTCAGTGTTTCAAGCCAACTGAATGCGATAAGTTGTACAGGGCATGCCTTACAAATGCTTTATTAATTTATAATATTTAGTGCAGGAGGCGTCCTTTATGTGGTGCCTAGTTCTTCTAATAAGAAAAAATAAAAGCTAACAATACATGCTAAGAGCTTAAGCGTGAGTGTATGTGTTT